TGCCTGTAAAGTTGCCTCTCTCTCTCTCTCTCTCTCTCTCTCTCTCTCAGAGGCGTAGCAAGCTTTTGAAAAGTGTGGGGGATGGATGTGTCATTTAAATTTGGGCATGTTACGTAGACCCCTGTCCCTCTAGGGGGGTTCGGGGGCATGGTCCCCCGCAAGAAAGTTTGGTACATTTTAAGGTTAAATGCATCAATCTGGAGCACATTGAGAGCTCAACTGGATTCAACCCAGGCCTGTACACATTGAACAATCAATCAATCAATCAATCAATCAATCAATCAATCAATCAACCAATCAACATTTATTTATATAGCCCTTTACATCCCTTTTTCAAGGTGAACCAAAGTGCTTTCCAAAACAACAATTAAAAAAAAAGAACAACAACAATACAATGCAAAATGGCACAGAATGAGTCAACAAAGTTATGATATAAAAGCCAGTCTAAATAAACAAGTCTTAAGCTTAGCTTTAAAAGGGCCTAATTCCGTGATAGTTCGTAAATCGGCAGGTAGCTTGTTCCAAAGTCTTGGCCCAGCTACAGAAAAGGCCTGGTCACCCCATCGTCTGTACCTTGTCCTTGGGACAACCAACAAAAGTTGATTTGTTGACCTGAGAGTCCTGTTTGATTCTCGTAAGGTTAGCATCTCAGTCACGTACGGTGGAGCAAGCCCATTGAGAGCTTTAAAAACAAACAATAAAATCTTAAAATCAACTCTAAAAGAAACCAGCGAAGCCAGTGAAGTGAAGAAAGAATTGGGGTTATATGCTCACGCTTGCGTGTATTAGTTAAAAGACGAGCTGCTGCGTTCTGTACCAGCTGAAGGCGCCTGAGTGATGACTGTGATACTCCCACGTAAAGTGCATTACAGTAGTCTAATCTTGAGCTAATAAAAGCGTGAATAGCTTTCTCAAGATCCGAACAATTTAAAAAAGGTTTGACCTTTGCCAATAGACGTAGCTGAAAAAAACTTGCTTTTACCACACTATCAATTTGTTTGTCAAATTTCAGGCTACTATCAAAAGTCTGATTTCTGACAGTCGGTCTAAAACTTGAAAATAACATATTAGGGTCAGTGTTTGCAGACTCACCAAATAAAATATATTCGGTCTTATCTTCATTCAAATTAAGGAAATTTTTTCCTAACCATGATTTAATGTCGTCAACGCAATCAACTAGTGACCCGAATGCATGACTATTTGTTGGACTTATCGGCAAATAAATCTGCAAATCATCAGCGTAGCAGTGATAAGCTATGTTATGCCTGGCTATGATGGACCCCAGGGGCAGTAGATAGAGCGAAAATAAAACTGGTCCAAGAATAGAGCCTTGTGGCACCCCGCAGCTGAAAGAAGTAGAAGAAGAGGACGAATTCCCAATCACCACTGAAAAGGTTCTGTCAGCCAAGTATGACGAAAACCACTGAAACGCAGTACCCTTAATGCCAACATAGTGATTAAGGAGAGACAGAAGAATTGCATGGTCCACTGTATCAAAAGCCGGCGTGAGATCGAGGAGCACCAAAATAACGGGACTCTTAGCATCAACAAAGCGGGCAATATCGTTGTGTACCTTTAGTAATGCTGACTCAGTACTATGGCGCGATCTAAATCCTGATTGAAATTTCTCAAACAGAGAGTTATTTTCTAGAAAAGAATGTAATTGAAAAAAAAAAACAACTTTTTCTAGCACTTTTGAAAGAAAAGGCAAGTGAGGAACTGGTCTGAAATTAGACAGAACTGAGGGATCCAGATTCGGTTTTTTAAGAAGAGGTCTAATCACAGCGTGTTTGAACTCGGCAGGGACAAATCCTGAGCTCGGCAGGGACAAATCCTGAACAACGAAAAAGCATTGACTTGTAGCTTACCTAAAGAGGGCTCAAACATCTTTATAGTTATGATATAGAGTCTCAGTCATTATATTCTATATTACGCTATCAAAATTACAATACTTTTGTCCTAATTTCTTCACTTGTAAGAAATAAACCCTTGAGCTTCAGGAGAAAACACAGAACACCATGCTGATCGTGTGAGCAAAGAGCGCGTACTATTTATCCAAAAATACGAAATATAATAATGATAACACTGGACATGTCAATAAAACATAAACATAACATCTTCCCAAACACATATCAAGCTTATTTAAAAACCTCGAAAGCATACACACTCATTCAAAGTACCTGGAAAAGGGAGATGTAAACAACCATAAGTTCCCGCCTCCTCAGCACGAGCTGACCGATACATCTAACACATCAAGAGAGGCGGGACTTAAGGCAGAACAGCCAATCATCAGCCGGACACACTCAAAGCCGGTGTCAAGTTTGAGAGGAGACAGCCGCAGCGAGCGCACACACACTGAGCGCCAGAGAAACGGAGGAGCGACTGTAGGAAGGCGTTTGTGTAAAACTGCGGAAAAACGGCAGAAAAAGTGCGGGTGTTGAACACTCTCACCGGGAAAAGTGTGGGTGTTAAAACACACCCCACACTCGCGGTGTTGTTTGGGTTCATTGACCCGGCGTCATGGCGTGAAAGTGGCGTCCGCGGTTAGTGTAGAGAAGTGCTGTCTTGCAGTGGGAGATGTGGTTGGCCATGAAAACATAATGTCCGCCTCCAGGATGAATAATGCCACTGTGGTGTTTCTCAGTACTGTCGAAAAGGCTAATGAATTAGTTGAGGCAGGAATAGTTGTTGACGGTTTGTTTAACCCTGTGCTTCCGCTTAGCAGCGATCATCGTGTCTGGATGATCGCTGGATTCCCACGTACAGACAAGGACAAGAAAGGTTCAGTAGACTGTTTGCATTAAATGAATGGTTAATGTCATTGTGTAATGAACAGAGGCTGCTCTTTGTAAATAATTGGCATAGCTTGAAATAGCTTACCTGATCTATCTAAGCTGCTAAGTGAACCCAAACAAACAGATGAGTTAGAGGAAATGACTAGCAGTTTAAGCACCATTTTTACTTGTACATTAGATATTGTTGCACCAATTAGATTAAAAAAGGTTAGAGAGAAAACTAAAGCACCATGGTACAACAGTGCTACGCATGCTATCAAGAGAGAAACTCGCAACTTAGAGCGTAAATGGAAACAAACTAATTTAGAGGTCTTTAGAATCGCGTGGAAAGACAGTATGTCACGTTATAAAATGACACTAAAAACAGCCAGGGCTGAGCATCTCCGCAAACTAATCGAAAATAACCAAAATAATCCAAGGTTTTTATTTAACACCGTGGCTAGACTAACAAATAAACAGACATCACCAGAGCAAAATATACCGTTACAGTTTAGTAGTAATGATTTTATGAATTACTTCAATGAGAAAATAGAAAGCATCCGAAACACAATTATAAATGTACAATCCTCTATGGTGTCTTATGATTCAGCCTCAATTATGGCCCCCCTAGAACAACTACACCGCTTTACAATGATAGGACAGGAGGACCTAAATAAACTTATCATTGCATCTAAACCAACAACATGTTTATTAGATCCAATACCCACTAAACTACTGAAAGAACTATTACCTGCAGTGGAAGAGCCTCTCCTCAATATTATTAACTCGTCTTTATCTTTAGGTCATGTTCCAAAAATATTCAAGCTGGCAGTAATAAAACCTCTCATTAAGAAACCGCTTTTAGATCCAAATAACTTGGCAAATTACAGACCCATTTCAAATCTTCCATTTATGTCCAAAATAGTAGAAAAAGTTGTGTCCGCTCAATTGTGCTCTTTTTTGCAAGAAAATGATATCTATGAAAAATTCCAGTCAGGATTCAGACCGCATCATAGTACAGAAACTGCGCTAGTTAAAATTACAAATGATTTACTTTTAGCTTCTGACCAAGGCTGTATCTCAATACTAGTCCTACTTGATCTTAGCGCTGCGTTCGACACTATAGATCATAAAATACTCTTGGATCGACTACAAAACTACACTGGTGTCCAGGGACAGGCATTAAGCTGGTTTAGATCGTACTTATCGGACCGTTATCATTTTGTCTGTTTAAATGGGAAAAAATCAAAGATAACGTCTGTAGACTATGGAGTACCGCAAGGATCGGTTTTAGGCCCTCTGCTATTCTCAATATATATGCTGCCACTTGGTAATATTATAAGAAAACATGGAATTAATTTCCACTGTTACGCTGACGACACTCAATTATATATTTCATCACGACCAGATGAAAACACTAACTCATCTAAATTGACAGAGTGTCTCAAAGATATAAAATGCTGGATGACGCGTAATTTCTTGCTATTAAATTCAGATAAAACGGAGGTATTACTTATTGGTCCAAAAAACTACTCACAAAACCTCTTACAGTACAACTTTAATATAGATGGATGTCCTGTTACTTTATCCGCTACAGTAAAAGACCTGGGTGTTATACTAGACCGCAACTTGTCTTTCGAAAATCATATTTCATATGTTACAAGAACAGCCTTTTTCCACGTGATGTTAAAAAAAAGCCGTTTTTACGAGCAGTCCAAGAGACGCTCACTTTATCTACTAAATTAGTCCCCTTGTGTTGTTTTAAAACATTTTAAATCCTGCATTAACTTTTCATATGGTATTTTCATACAAGGTTATCTATAAATTTAGATTATTTTTTTTACCTGCAATATGCTCTCTAAAGGTGCAGTGTGGGATTTTTAAAGGTGCAGTGTGGGAACCAGGTTTGCAATATGGGCTCAGCCCACTGCTCACCCCTCCCTTTCGAAGAAGTTGTTGCTAAAACGGGACTAGCTATCAGTTCCTTTATCAAAAGGTACACATGAAATAAAGCACCCTGGGGGTATTATATGGATCTGTTGTTTAATCTATTAAGTTTTGTTATATATAAGTCTATGTTTTATGAATTAAAGTGTGCTGTGAACTCGGTGACCTTGAAACTCAAGCTACTGTCATTCATTCATTCACGTCCCGGAGCGCCTTCTGCCTGCCAATATGGCGGTTTAAACAGAGTAGGTCACGTGACGTCCGGAGCTCTATATCATATGTTTCTAATACGCATGCTAACACACACGCTGCTTTATTTAATAGTGAAGTCTGAGTCTCTTCCACCTGTATGAAACACATTTACACATGTATTTCTCCTCATAGACAGCAGTGAGACTCTTCTGTGGATCACCTGATGGTTTCTGCTCCTCTCATCTCCGTTTCACAGATTTAAATCTTGATGGAAATTCACTGACGTTGGCCGATCGATCTTAATCTACACTGTAAAGTGGATCAGAAGAGAAAACAATCAGTGTTCAGTGGAACAAAGTGCTGTTTTTCTTTAGTAAAATTAAGTTAAATTGAATTCCTGTAATCAGATTAATGACTGACTTTACATGATCTTGGATAGAGATATTTGTGTTAAATATAATAGATGTAAAGCCTGAATCATGTTCATATGTGTGTCTGTGTGTGTCGGTGCGACTCCTATTGAGTCTCTGTAAAGGAGAAACTAATGAGTGTACGGCGTATGGAATAAACCACAGCAAGCAAATACTAATGTTATTCTGAGTTAAACACAAACCTTTTGTTAAAGCCGTTTGTCCTCTAGTTTAAACATGTTTGTAGGCTCTTAGTAAATAACTGAGAGTAAAGTAAGTGTAGAGTAGTGTGACGTGTTGCTTGTCACAGTAAAAACACACTAGAGACAGAGACATTGCTCATGTGAGCTGGACGCTGTGAGCTGAAGCTGGAACTGCACTGATTTTAGCAGGAGTGCAGCGTTTCCTACAATCTGACCAAGTCTGTTTCACACTCAAATGATTCACTTCTACTGACACAGTTCATAAAGCAGGTGTTGATGTATAAAGCTGTGACAGTGAGCTTTTCTTCTCTTTCCTCCTTTGTGTTCAACATTTCAATAACTTCACATTATGTTCTCACACAAACTCTTTGTTGCAACAAATCTTATTGATAATTTCCTTTCACGAATGTTTGAAAGGGTTGTTCACATATCAGAGGTAAATGAAGATGTCTTTAGTATCTCAGTGATGTTTCCTCACCTCAGGACACAGTTTGAGTCACGTAGCTTGTCTCTGAGCCGCTGCTTTGAGTATCCTATCTTATTGTCTCTCAGATCAAGCTCTTTTAAAACCTGCAGTGCTTTTGAGTTCGTCAAAGACTGAGTTAAAGAAGAAACATCTGTAATGGCACAGCGATATAGACTAGAGAGACACAAACAGAGGAAGAGAGATTATATTACAAACAAATCATGAATATGAAGAATTTTACACAAATATAATGTGAACTCAGACTCACTGTCAGATATTGAGTATAAAGTGTTTTAGTTTAATAAACCCAGAAAGTGCACTGCTATAACCAATGAAACATAAGCCCTGCTGTCTTCAAATAAATAAACTTCAGTCACACTGTAATTGCTGTACAGTATAATGACACTAACTGTAGTTTCTCCAGATTGAATTGTGGGTTCATCAGTAGATCACTGAAGTTTTTCACTCCTGAGTCTCCTAGATTATTCCAGCTCAGGTCCAACTCTCTCAGGTGTGACAGGTTTGATTTCAGAGCTGAAGTCACATCAGAACAACCTTCATCTGTCATATCACAGTAGCTTAACCTACATTAGAAGAGAGAGAGAGAGAGAGAGAGAGAGAGAGAGAGAGAGAGAGAGAGAGAGAGAGAGAGAGAGAGAATGAAGAAAATAAGAGACTCTTTATTCTTTAAAGTCAGATCATATTCATCAGCAAATAAAACAGAGGAAGAGAGATCTTCATCTTTATTCCACCAGAGCACAAAATACTAAGGCGAAAATGTTTGTACAAATATAATGTTAATGTGTTTTAGTTTAAAGGTCCCCTGACATGTTTTTTTTTATTTTTTTTATTATGTTTCCTGAGTTGCTCTTATAATGTTAGTATGTTTTTTAGTGAAACTCTCTTCAAAACGTACTACAGCTATTATACGTTTTTACTATTACAGATATCGAGATTACTGAATCGCAAAGGCGTAATTTGCAGGTGGGACGGGTGGGACATGTCCCCACCACTTTTAGCCAGGGTCGATATTGTCCCCACCACTTTTGAAACATCTCTCGCGGCACGGATGTAAATTATACAAATAAATAAATCATCTAGTTAACTAGCAGAGCATTCATTTTTAGTTCGTTTCTTTAAATAAGAGGCGATCTAGCGCTGAAATGTGTTGCTTTTGAAAACAAGTGATCAAAGTGCTCGTTGCCGCTGCAATCAGTGGCGCGGATACAGTTCTCTTGTGGCTCGCGCACACAGTCTTCACACGGACTCGCGCTTTAATCCGTTGTGGAGACTCATATTCGATCCGGTGAAATCACAAAGTAAAATGCACACAAACATACAACTGATAAACATAATCGGTTTTAATCAGAGATAAAAATGATACGAAAATGATACGAGTGCGGATTAGAACCCAGAACCTCTGTCACGCTTGGCAAAAGTTCTGCCACTGGACTAATGAAATGCTTGCGTGTCATTGTCAGATCTCTGTATTTCATCACGTGAAAATTCTAGCCACAAACACATATTACATCTGCCTGATACAAGCCCGAAACTCTCTCGTCGAGGTAAAAAGCGAGATACCCCTCGCTGCAGACTGTAGCGCGGTGACGTCGCGTATTCACGTCACGTATGTACGTCACGTTTGTGTTACCAAGCATGTGCGCACGCGCAAATTACAGGCATTTGCGCACGCAGTTCATTACAATCACTTCAGGCGATGGATTCGATGCTAGTAAGTCGATATGCATTATTTATGCTTTGACAATTGTTCTTTTGAGTTAATGGCTTTGAATTGTCTTAAAGTGATATGTAGAAGTCTTAGTTCGCCATTAAACAAATTAAGGCTTGAAATATGTCTTCAAATAAAGCAGAAAGGCGTAAATTAATGTAGTAATGTAGTTGATTGCTACATCCATTGCAAAAGAAATGTTCCTTAATATCAGATCGTACTGTAAAACATTCATGAATGTAGTGAATACTATACGTTATTTTAGTCAACTATAACCTTAGTTGTTTTTATCATTTAGACAGCATAACTTTTTTAAATTATTTATGTTGTTCATAAATAAAGAAAAGTCTCTTTACATACAAAGCCAATAACTTTGTTGAATAAATAAAGTCTCTTTACAGACAAAGCCAATAACTTTAAGTTATTGGCTTTGTCTGTAAAGAGACTTTTCTTTATTTATGAACAACATAAACTAATTAAAAAAAAGTTATGCTGTCTAAATGATAAAAACAACTAAGGTTATAGTTCACTAAAATAACATATACCTGTAGTATGCACTACATTCATGAATGTAACTTTTACAGTATGATCTGATATTAATGTTGATATAACAACATTTCTTTTGCAATGGATGTAACAATCAACTTCATTACTTCATTAATTTACGTCTTTCTGCTCTATTTGAAGACATATTTCAAACTTATATAGATATACATACCTTTCATTGAAGTAAAAGAATTGAAAGTGGGGGTAAATCACATTATGAAATAAATGTTTTTCTCCAAAACACTTTGGCCACAATTATTGGCACCTGTTTATTAAATGCTTTTTGCAATCTCCTTTTGCCAATATACCAGAGTCTTCTCCTGTAATGCCTGATGAGTTTTGAGAACACCTGACCTGAGATCAGAGACCATTCCTCCATACAGACTCTCTCCAGATCCATGTTGGTGCTTCATCTCTTCAGTTCACTCCACTTATCAGGTGAGGATACTGTGACGGTCATGGCAGAAGCTTCATTTTGTGCTCAGTAACTAATTTTTGTGTTAATTTTGATGTTTGTTTTGGATCGTTGTCCTAATGGAAGATCCAACCACGGCCCATTGATTTCTAGCTTTCACCCTCACCGTCCATTAAGAAAATATACACACACATCCTCTTCCTGGCAGATTCCTAACATCTTTAGTTGATTATAACTTCTTATAATAATAACTTCTTAATTATTGCCTTGAAGGTCAAAATGGGGATTTTCAGGTCTTTAGCTATTTTTTTTACATCCACTTTCTATTTTGTGAAGCTCAACAATCTTATGCTGCACATCAGAACTATATTCTTTGGTTTTACTCATTGTTGTGGATGATGAAGGGGATTTGGCCTTTGTGCTTCTTCAAATTTAAACTCCTGTGAATCAAGAAGTCATGGCTGGACACTTTCATGTTCCTAGTCACCCTGGTGTGCTAAATAAAGGTGAATATTAATGGGAATATACTTTAGAGATATTTTACCTGTAAAATATTCTGGGGGTGCCAATAATTGTGGCCAAAAGGTTTTGGAGAAAAACATTTCATTTTTTACAGCCAGTTTTGAACATATTATATCAATTCTGACCATGACTGCACACACACACACACACACACACACACACACACACACACACATATATATATATATATATATATAATCATTGTATGACTCTGAATGTTAATGTCTTTCTTCGAAATGGTTCAATATTGTTTGTTCTGTATTTTATCAAAATTAGGTGTTTTAATGCATTTTCCATACAATACAAGCAAGAGTTCCGAAGGATGCGCTACTCGTTGGTTCTGTGCTTGCACTGTGATATACGAGGACTGCCCAGCTCGGTCTGTGTGATGGCAGAAGAGGAGTCCTGCGTGCATTTTATTCCGAGAAGGAGATTGAGGGCTATAATTGCTTAGTTGATTGTTTTTTTTTCATTGATGGAGGGGAAATTCAAGCTGAATAGTGTGTGTGTGTGTGTGTGTGTGTGTGTGTGTCTGTCTCTGTGTGTCTGTCTGTACAGATGTATGAGATTATCTGTATTTGTACATTGTTCTTTTACACAATTATATTTGTTTTGAAATAAAAGTTATCACTGGTATGAGTTTATTTTTTTGAATTGGCATGCATAAAATTGGATACAGAGATTGACAATGTACTGTATGTAGTTGGTTTAATGTTTTATGATAGCCTATAATGCACAAAAATAAACCATTATAACAGAGAGAGGATATGAGGCACAACCCATCAAACTGACAGGTTTATTGCCCCTCATAAAAATAAGCCCCGCCCCTTTTACCCCTCCCACCCCTCCCATTTATGAACTGTACGTACACCGTGGGAAAATTCCCACGGTCTCCCTCCTCTTTCCACCCCTCACCACCACCACCCCTCGCCACCTCTTCTGGACTGGTCACGTGATCGTGGGAAAATTTTCCCACGAACCGGACCCCCCATCCCATCCGACCCGGTACCGAACTGGACACCTGTTACGGAGGGCTCGTGTCACCACCCCCTCACCACCTCTCCACTTCAGGGTGATCACGCGATCGTGGGGAATTTTCCCCACAATGGTGGAAAAACAATACATTTTCAAACTTTAAGGACGAAATAAAACAAAAATAGGTTTAGTGATTTTTATTAAAAGAAAAATCTTTTACACAAACTTGAAGTTGTACAAACTATAACAAATATTACAAGTTTCAAATACAATAACGTTGTAATATCTTTTAGGGTTCTATTAAAAAAGTTTTCTAAAATACATTTTTAGTGTTTCATTAAAAATGCACGGCTTCATATATATATATATATATTATGTTAAAAACCTTTAAAACAGTTTAAAAAAGCATTAAAAAGTCAAAGATCGACCATTTTACAGAAAAAGTCAAACAAGTGGGTTTTTCATTACAGAAAACTGTTTTCTAAACCCTTATTTTTTAAAAGACTTACGTTTTACAAAACACTGTTTAAAACCATTTTTAGTCAATTTATATCATTAAGACGCGGTAGGAGTCTTTACCTTTACACGCTATTTAGTAAATTGCTCCATTTTATATAAAACATCTGTTTCGCAAAAATAACATATCTGAACAAAATCGCTCTTTTCACAATTACACGTTTAAAAGTATTAAAATATTGTATAAAGTTAAAATAAACGTATCTTTAGCGTGAGCATTAAATTGTGTTTTTAAAACATCTAAAACCCCCTTGGTATTTCACAATAACAGTGCTTAAAGGTGTTAAAACAATTTATATCATTAAGACGCACGTTTTTAAATAAACATCTGTTTTAAAAAAAGTCTTCAATCACAATAATAATATATACGGACAAAAGTTATACAATTACATATCGTTTAAAAATATAAAAACACACGTGTCTTCACTGTTTTATACATCTGTAAATGTTAAAACCTTTAAAACAGTTTAAAAATGCATTCATATGTGAAAAAAGTCAAAGTCCGGTCATTTTACAGAAAAAGTCAAACAAGACAGTTTTTCATTACATGAAAAGTTTTTCATTACAGACTTACGTTTATCCTGTTTTAAAGATCCAACATCAACGCTTTATCCAAAACTTTAGAGATATTCCAAAAGTCCCTCCGATTCAAACTTTGTGTAAAATGTAATTCTGGGGAGGTCTGCAAAACACGTCCATTCAGCTCGATGGAAGAAACAATACTGACTGTTTGAATGTGTGCACGGAGCCACACGCAGACTCCTCCCACGACACTCCCACATCACGTGGCCCCTTGTGCATGTGGTATCCATACGTACAACACCCCCACCCCCAACGTCATAAGGGACTGTTTTAAAAAGCGTCTGGTCACCTTAAA